ACGGTAATGAAAAGTGCAAGTTACCGTCCACGCCCCCTAGCACCGGCTTAAGCAGAATTCAACATTTAAACATGAAATAGTAAAATTTTGAATTTAGAAACATCCGCAGATGTGTTCATACGGCGGTTATCATGGACTGTTTACATCTATAAAGGGTTTTCTCAATACCTAAATGTCCAGCTGATGGTATGTCATGAAAGTAATGCATTATATCATTTCTCTTATCAATAGGCACTACTAAGTGATGTTTTTCATTGTTCAAGTCAACATCTACAAATTTACAATGAAGAACTCCGTCAATCAAAGTTAATCTATCCCATTGACGCCATAAAGTTTTAAGTATTGATGTACCGGATGACACTTGATCCCATAGAGGTCTTACTTCGTCTTTGTCTTTTGCACCAATGAGAAGAGAAATATCAGGGTCTTTTTGTTGGGCCTCACGTATTTCGGCTGGTGTCCAACCATCTAAGTATGAACGAGTAATTTGAGGATTGACAATAATTTTCATTAAGTGTTCTGCAGGTTTTTCTTGAACAGTGTTATTTTGTTTAGTTAGATACTCATTGTAAGAAGTTTCACAGTCTTCGTCACTGTCATTACAATTTAATTTTTCTTGTCTTTCGCAAGTGCGACAAGGTCTACGCGACATTGCATCTGCATTTGAATGTTTTAATCCAGGGCGATGAACAATAGTTAAGTCATATGTCTCTAATTCTTGTACCCATCGTGCTATTTGACCAGACGGTCTTTTTAATTGTTTTAACCAACAAACAGCAGCATTATCTGTACGTAAAAGTGTAGGCTGACCGTAAAGATATGAATGAAAAGTTCTTAATGCAACGACAACAGCTAAAAGTTCTTTTCGCGTAGTACAGTATGAAACCTCGTGTTTATTTAATGACTTGCTCATGTAAGCGATGACTTTTTCTTGTCCGTTCTGTTTCTGCGAAAGAATCGCACCAACACTTTTGTCACTTCCATCTGTGTCTAAAATGAATGGTACATTAGGAAGAGGATATGCAAGAATTGGTGTACTAGTTAAGGCTGACTTCAGCTGCTGAAATGCATTTTGAGCTGTTTCATTCCATTGAAATTTTGCACCTTTTTCACATAACTTGTGGAGTGGTCTAGCTATGCTAGCAAATCCCTCAATAAATTGTCTGAAGTATGAACACAGACCTAAAAACCGAATTTCTTTAATAGTTCTTGGTACATGCCAATTCTCTACAGCATTTATTTTGTCAGGGTCAGTTGATACACCTTGCTCTGACACAATATGACCTAGAAATTTAGTTTGTTTTTGGAAAAAGGCACATTTAGAAGGCTTTAACTTTAGATTAGCATCTAAAAGTCTGTCGAATATGTTTCTTAATCTATTGAGACCTTCGGTTACATCACTACTTGGCGAAATTATATCATCCATGTAAAGTAAAAGTTCAATCCATTGAAGACCACTGTTTGCTAATCCGAAGGGCATAACAGTCCATTGAAAGAGACCCAAGTTAGTGGCAAATGCTGTTTTCTGTCGATCTTCTGGTGCCATACCCACTTGCCAGAAACCAGAACATAGGTCCATAGAACTATAAAATTTAGAATTTGCCAATGCATCAAGACATTCGTCAACGCGTGGAAGAGGATATGCATCTTTAACTGTTAAGTCATTAAGAAGCCTGTAGTCTACACAGAATCGTATGCTACCATCTTTCTTCGTAACAAGTACCACCGGCGAGCTCCAAGGACTATTAGAAGGCTCGATTACACCCTTTTCAAGCATTTTGTATATTTCTTCTCTTTCAGCTTGTCGTTTGCCTATAGGTTGGCGTCTTGCAGGTTGTCTAACTGGTATGGCATTGCCTGTATGTATTTTATGTTGAATGCGATCACACTTTCCGAGGTCATTTGATGTTTTGGCAAATATATTTTCATATTCAATAAGCAGTTCTTTTAATTCATTACTTTCAGTTTCTAATAGATGTATGGAACTTCTTTTGTGTAAATCAATTAAATGTTCGGGTAGTTCATTTTGCTTCTCTTTAATATCTTTATTAGTTATTCTTACTGCTTCTTTATTAACATCACAATCAATATATGGTTCACAAGACCCTACATCCTGATTTTTATATAATGTCACACTTTTGTCTGAACCATTAACAAAATTAACACATACATCACTTTTTGATGTTTTAACTACACCAGGGACAATACCAATATCATCAGTCATCATTTTTACTGGCTTTGTGAGACCATATTCTGTTAATTTGTCTGATTTATTTATTTCAACAGGTAACCATACTGCTGAATTTGCAGGAACTACTGTTGTTCTTCTTACTAGAACTCTACTTGTCACAGATTTATCACTACCTACCTAACAGTTTATTTGATTATGTTTTCCAGTTTTATAATTGATAGTCTCTACATACTGCAAGAGAAAGTCTTGGCCAATTATACCTTCTTGCCCAATGTCACATATAAGAACAGACTGTTCAAAGAAATGTCCATTTAATTCAATTTTTATAATAGTTTTGCCTATTGTTTTGATAATTCAACCACTAGCATCATGAACAGGAGAAATAAAAGGTTCAATTTTTGGCTGTTGCTTTTTGTCTATTTTATTGAAGGTGTCAAATGAAATGATTGTTACTGTAGAACCATTATCTATCAAAGTTTGTTGCCCTAATATTTTACCATTTGTATAAAATCCATTATCCCATTTCTTATCTAATATATGGCCTGTTCCTACAGTATCTGATTGAATATTAACTTCATCAGGCCTTTTTGTTTCGTTTGTCGGCTCATGGCCTACTGGGTCGACAAGTTTCCGTTTCCCAAATTTACAGGTATATTTGTAACATTCTTGCCTTGATTTGTTGGGCTCATCTGATGTTGATAATTTGGATATTTGAGTTTTGAGGGGCAATCTCTATATAGATGGTCAGTGGCGTTGCAAGTATAACAGTGACGAGTAGGTCTGGGCCTTGCAGTTGGTCTTTTTTCAGCAGATTGGGCAGCAGCATGTTCAAGTCTCTCAAGCCTTGAATCTAATTTTTGAAGAAGTTTGCAAATGTTAGTGTCAACACCAGCTGTAACAATAGAACGAACATTATTCCTAGAGCTTTTACTTGCAGCCTCGCCTATGATAGACTCATACCTATCAATAACTGCGGCAGCATCTTGCAAAGTGATGCAATTATTATCAATGCATCTACATTTCATTTCAACTGGTATCAATTTATACAGATGATTAAGTGCTATGGCAACTTGAGCTTTGCTATCCAGTTGATAATATGCCTTCTTGGTGAGTTGGCGAATATCATCACATAATGCAGTTATACTCTCACCTTGTTTTCGCTGCCTTGCCTCAAGCATGCTTAGCCATTTACCAGCATGAATACTGCTGCCAAATCTGTGCTGCATCTGGTATGCCAGTGAATTGTAGTCTTGACGCTGATGTTGATCTATACTCATGTAAAAGGTTCGAGCCTGGCCACGGAGAGATGCTGCTAGAAATAGGACCTTATTTCTATTGTCACAATTACCCAACTCAGCACAGTTTTCAAAATGTGAGCAATATTCTTCCCAACATTCATGTCCAGAATATGGTTCGGGTTTCAAACTTGGCAATGAAGAATTACTTGGACGGTAAGAGTGAGGTGGTTGGCACCTTTCAAAGTTATCATCATGATGCGTGTGACCACCTGTATAAATGTTACTATGATTAATATTTTGTCTGTGCTCAAATCTTTCTTGAGGTCTCTCAAGATGATAGCGTCTGTCCCCAGAATGGTATTTTTTGACTTCTGTGATGATGTTCACTTCGCCTTTGGTAACAAGGTGAAGGACTAGACTGGTAATGTCTATTATGTGATCTGGGAGAGCGCATTGGACTAGGGCTCATGTCAGATGAACTAGAATGGTAACGTATTCCGGTCTGTCTATGGTACCTAGACGACCTTGATCTAGACTGGTTGCGTCTCCTATAGGATCCATGAGGGCGCCTTCTATGTTTATGTGAATTGTCAGACTTTGGAGATTCGCTGACCATTCTTATATTAGATCTTGGTTGTTTATTTGCCATTTTGTAAAGGTATACAAATATCTGTAATTTGGTGGTCTTCAACCTCACTTAATTGCTCTGATGTCCTATCGGATGCCCTGTTTAAAATACAACTGTTATTGTCTGTATTATTATTGTCACTACAGATTTTATCACCATTTTCACCAGTATCATATTGTCTAGGACTTATGTTATAATGGTTACATGTGTTGAAAAGTACTTCAGAATCTGAGTTTTCCCTGCCATTGTCCAATTATTCAAAAATAAAAAATTCAAATTTTTGTTGATATACGCTATTCTGATTAAGCTTTTAAAATAGCGCCTATTGTAAGCCCAATTATTAAAAAATGTTATTTTCTTGTCATTTGATCGTAACTAATTTTTTTTTCAGTTCAAAGTTAGGATTATATAAACCAATATAAATTTAATCTATTTCTATAGATCTACACCGTAAATGTTCAAAGCGCGATATTTACTATCAATCTGTATACATTATTAAGCCAGAAACTACCCGCTTAATTAATCTGTCCGCGATGTATTTGACAAATTAACATCTGCACTTCTGACACCAAAGTGTAACAGGCCGGCGGGTGTCAGGTGAAAACACAAAAAACGTATAAATATAGTAATAACGTTAAGCGCTCGTCTCTTATATAGATCTAAAGCGGAACTGTACATCACTCTGTAAATAAGTCTAGAAAAATATAGATCTAGACTGTTTATCAACAATAGTTTATATGTTTAAAGTTAATCATTTGTGGACACAGCTCAGGACAATTGTTTACCAAGGGACTTACATGTACTAGATTTTATATTTGTATTTGCCGCTCTTAAGTTATTTACGTGTCTGACAGCAGGCGCAGATACTGACATCATCTTGAATCCAGCCAATATATATAGGCTTCTGAGATGTGACCACGTGATTAAATTGACCAATGAATGAATGCCCGGTGAGGAAGGTGTGTACCTAGGGACCAATCAGATTTGTACCGGTTGTCGTTCTCCAATGAAATTGCAGAACGGCGACTGGCAGGAATTCCAGGACACCGTTCCCTTCAACGGACGTTCAGTCAAACGTTATTACAAATCATGTTTAACATAAACAATATGATCAGTGCTTATACATCTAGAGTGATAGATTATTTCACGACAAATGTTTTGATACTTCCAAAACTATGCAATACTTCTATTGCAATCGTGGAAAAACTATTCGAAGTGTAGCAGTTTGCAGACGCTCAGATTGAACGGTAAAAATTCTCACTGTGTTTGAATGAAACATTATTAAAATCACAATTATATATGCAATGTATTTAAATCTTATGCTAGCTAGATAAGTTTGAGAACATATTGGTTCTCAGATAGGTCCCTTAAACCTTATCTTAGTAAATATCACAGATTCGTAATTATTTCTGTGACAGTTAACAAACAATAACAACCAAAAATGGCTGCCTCCATGAAATTTACAGTGTTTTGTTGAACAAAATCATAAAAATAAGAAGATAAGCAGTGCTTCAAGTTGAATTAAAGGAACATTTTAGGTAGATAAGTATCCAAAATTACTTACTGAATTGATAATATAAGTTTTTAACAACAAATATACGAAATTAACAAGTTAATGAGACAAAAACATACATGTACAAAATATGGCAGTTTTGATTTCTTTACAATAGTTAGCACTATGTTTTGTTTATGAATTATACCAAACACACACGTTGGTTATTTTACCAATCTGTACAGGTGACTATTTAACCTTTGTTTATTTTTGTATTTTAAAGTTTTATTTCCATTTCAAAAAAGTTGAAAGATCAATGTTTAAATCAATAGATGACTTTTTTCTCTATGTAACGATATTTTTTATTCAATTATATTATGATATGAGTGTAACTAATAACCTCCTTATCAAAGCAATTATATACAGTGCAACCCCGCTTATTCGAAATGCCTGGGACTGGAAATTTACTTCGAATAACCGATAGCTTCGAATAATCGAAATCGGAATATTGTGATAGACGACAAATACTCCACTTTGACCAATCATAGCAAAACTACCGTTTGCAACACTTACTTCCTGCAATCAATTAAGAAAAATAAATATTAAAGAAAAGATACGTAAAAATTATTTTATTGGCATTGAAGACATAAATACTTGCATTTTATTCTACATTATGTATCGTTTTGTTTCATGCACAGCCTTGATAATGGCCGTGTTTTCACTTCGGTATTTACAGCTAAACTGTGGTATTTTCGATTAGGGTGAAGGCTCTCATGTAGCATTACAATTAATTGTTTTGGTTGTTTTGACAAATTCACATATACGGTATGTATGAAAATTATTGCTGTCAGCTTCAAGCAATACCAATCGGACATGGTGCATAGCTTTTCATTTCTGGTAATTAAAGTTGATTAAAACACACAAATCGTAATTATCATGATTGTCTAAATACACGCAAGACTGTTTATTTTTTCACAAGTCGACTGGTAAGCGAGTGGATCTGTGCCAATTGGTCTGGCTTCGAATAATAGGCGTGAAATTCATTCATAATTAAATGTTGTAATATAAATGGATCTTCTTAGTAAGATATTTTTTGAATTTTGTATATAATTTGAATTTGTATGATCCAAGACTATACATGTTATCAAATGTTTGAGATGTAAATATATATGTTGTATTTGTACATGTTCATTGGTCGTCTTTGTGAACTTTATGGAACAAGAATGCGGTGTATTTATAATGCTAATAAAATCAAATGTAACCGTGCGATTGGTTTGTTTTTCTATATTAATTTTGATAATTCCTCCTTTCGTTTACAGATATTTTATATAAAGAATAAAATGTATATTCTTCTGTACATAAATGCTTCAAAAGAGAAAAATAAATAAATAAATGCTTAAGAAGACTTTAATACAAATGAGGATAACGCTCAGTAGATCAATAGTTTTTTGTTAAGGAAATTATACAAAAATTTGTGTTTACAATTTACAAGTTCGAATTCAGCTGTTATTTGGCTGCCATAAATTCAAGATATACCAGTTAATAACCAAATACCTTAACACCTGATTTATAGTTTGAAAACAATTCAAATTTATTCCGTATACCTTCATCTGTTTGCCAATATCTTCTTGTTATATTATATTATAATGAACAGATTGAATCAATTTAAAAGGGGTGGTGACCTAGTTGTTAAGGTGTTCGTCTCTCAGATCATGGCTTTGTGTCATGACCATATTGCCTCAAACATGTTGACACGAGTATTAAGAACTTCAAGGTTTTATCAATAATCAAGCTAAAATAGGTTTAACCCAAACTTAACAATTCTACTTTTTTCTTCAACAAATGTCCAATGATTATATAAATAAACTGGAAAGGTTTATGACAACACACTGGCACGTAAACGCCAGAAATCATCATGTTATTTAAATCGATGAAAATCTATAATTCGTAGTTTGATGATAAACATTCGTAATAGATGACTGTCTTGAATGAAAATATACGTCTAAAGCATTGAGCGAAATTGTAAATTTTGACTGTTCTGTGTACTGATATGTCAAGTCAGAAACTTACTCCTGAATACTATGAGACATGAAATACACACCGTTGAGAACGGAGAATTTACAATGTTGCAGGATTAATCATTTAAAAGATTCGCCATTTGAAAGATTTTTTAAAAAAATTATCAGTTTAAACTATAATTACTTATTTTTAACACAGCTAACTTTTACCAAAAGAAGTTTTCTTTTTGATACTTTCGGCAAAGGTATAAGCGCATCTCAATTACAAATTTTATGCATACCATAATTTATTTACATAAAAAATGCATTTTTTTCTATATTAAGCTTTTTTTATATTCTTTAAGGGAGAACAAAGATCAACCAGGCAATAAGGCAGTGCGATATTCACAGACAATCTAGTCACGTTAGGCATGTCAATAACTAATAATACCTGTAAAACGTTACCTTTATAATCAAATTAATATGACTTAAAAAAAATAAACCGATCTATTATATCCCGGTGTTATTTGACTTATATTTCATTTACATAATACTATTTTGTTTTCTTTGTTTGAAAAGCATAACATCATAAAATTGTATTAGAAAACCCTCAGGTGAGCAGTTCATTTTACAATCAATCCGCATTGCTCAGTAGGTGACATTTATAATCTATATTTTGAAATTCAGTTTTGTGTAAAAGTTATCATCATTTTACCCATTAAAAATAGCTTTTTATAATTTTACCAACCGTGATAAGAGCCCAACTTCCTCTACTCGCGTTTTAACAATAATTTAATAGTAAATAATAAAATTAACTTAAAGCTATAAAGTTTTGTATTATCCCTTTTCCTTTTTATCTAACAGTGAATTATTTACCTCACGGATACAATAATATCTTTTTCTATCAATTGACAGCTTAAGAGCCGTCAAATTTTTTAATTTTGTCGTTTTGGGCGTTATTTGAGTATTCCGTTTTTCTTTATTGTATACAAATGTATTACAATTATTGCTGATAGTATACTTATATATATGCCATACTTAACCCATGCGGCCAGAATTCCTTAGATTACAAGTTTGTTGTAAACATTCTTTATAAAATGATGTTGTTAATGTGTTTCATCACATAAACTGCAGCACAGAATTGTTATAAGCCATTAAATAAAAAAGGCATTACATAAGTGTAATAACACTTTGACGTGGCGTCATTTGCATTATATATAAACATAGCGTTAAAGCGCGCTAATGTCAGCGTTATACTATAGGTGTGTCATTGAAAATATACACTTTTTTAACAGTTTACCATTATTATTTTATATATGTGATAAATAGAATTTTATATTCATGTAGATTCAATACTTAATTTTTTTAACTTGTTGAGTAAAACAATTTTATGCTCACCAGAGTCTCGCATAATATAATTTTATTCAATTGTTCAATATATTTAGTATTAAACTAAAACTCATTGATTGGATATCCTCTATTTACTTGATTATAGCTTAGATTAGAAGAAGCAAAAACTGAGATACAGGGACATTTAAAGCCCAATGGAAAAGTTCAAAGTTTCTCTGTAGATTTATCAACTAATTATGATGATGTTAAAAACTGTGTTACTGAGGTAGGTATTAATAACAATTGTTTTGTCTGTTTTTTATGTTCTGTATAGTTTACAGAATGATTTCTTTGATAGTATTTATCTATTACATATACAAAATAGTTGAAAGAAAAGGTTATAACTAGAGCTATCATCGATAGAGACAATATCAATGTATTGTTGATATATGTATTTTTTCTGTTGATCAATAATCGATAATCATACACATTTGAAAAAATTGATTATTTTGATTAATTGTTTAAATGTATATAAATTATGAAAATTCACTAAAAACATATACAAAAGCAGGTGGCCTTGTCTTACACTAAGCTTTTGTTACATAATGGACACATTTCATAGCAGTGATAACAAAATACAATGCAATGGTCCTTTAGAAAGAGGAAACAACATATTTGTGTGAACAGAACATTTATTTTACTAAAATCATTTAAACAGGTATGAAAAAGTATTTATAAACAAGAAAAGAATATTTATCAATATATCGGTGTATCGCCAATTTTTGTGAACCGATATAGATATATTGTCAATATGCTTTGCACTGAATCAATGACAGCCCTAGTTATAACAGAAGCTATTGATGTGATTTACATTTATGTTAATATATACACCACTTTTAACCATATGGGCTACTCACTCCAGGAGATTGTGTTATTGTAATATTTTATAATGGTCGTTTTCTCAACTTTTGTTACCATGTTTCATAGTTATTCATTAATTGTTAAAAGACTAAGTGAAATGACCCGAATTTTTCTTATTATCATAAGAGACAGTTAATCATTAGTTCGGTTTTAACTTGTACTGACACTTAAAATATGATAAGGTGACTTTCAGACTTTATGGGTGGGATGAAGAATTCATGGCCTCACTGTGTGATTTTAGGCATCTATATGCGCCTGAATTTCTATATGTCCGTTGAATAGTTTCCACACATAAAAGTGTCCAAAATTGTGAGGGGGCAAGTAATTTGAAGTCAGGGACTTTAAGCACACCACTCAGGTTTAATGTTATTTATTTTAACACACCACTTTGGAAGCCTTTGATAGATAAAAAGTATTTTTTAAGCTTATTAAATTCTTATTGATATAGGCTGAAGAAAAGTTTGGCCCAGTGTTTATGTTGGTGAATTCTGCTGGTACTTCAGTGAGTCGTTCATTTCAAGACTTGGATGCTATAGAGTTCAAGGTAATAAATAGCTTTAACTGTACAGTTTTATTAAAACTTTTAAAGATGTAACAAACTATATTATAAAGGAATGAAAGAAGTAGAACAACACAGCTATATCAGTATTGCATGTTTACCTTAAATTAAGCATAAATTTACGAGGCGTAATGATTATTCCGTTTCAAGAAGCTTATATCACAGGCATTCATGTTGATGTAGGTTTAAAACACATGTTATCGTTTACTCATTTATTACAATACCTTACCCAAAAGTGTTTTTCCTTGTTGTTAACACTATTTACATGACTTGTAACTTCTATACTCTTTAGTAACTTTTTGTCATATATTTCAAACCAAACTGTGTAACAGTTATAAACTTTTGTCTAATTCAAAGGATCTTTTTTGTCTCTGTTAATCATTTCTTTTTCCGTGAAAGATCATGATATAGAAAAAACAGATAGCTTCTTTGTATGCTTAGTATGCCATGTAATGCTAATTTTGGTTTATAATTTTCATCTCCAGAAATTGATGGAAGCCAATTATTACAGTGCTGTAAATGCCACTAAAGCTTCTATTGACTCAATGGTAGGGCAGCAAGCTGGTAGAGTGGTGTTCCTATCATCCCAGGCTGGACAGATTGGACTGTTTGGTTTTTCTGCATACTCCGCCTCAAAATTTGCTCTTCGAGGACTTGCCGAGGCGTTACAGATGGAAGTAAGATATTATGTTTTGTTTTCATGAATGAAAAATATTTTGTATGATGAATATAAAAGAATGACATCTGAATTTGATTTGTAGGAAGTTATTTATATGAATATTTATTTTTAGCTTGACTATTCAAAGAATAGGGAGAGCTATTGATCTCACCTAGGTGTTACACTTTTGTTAAGTGTTTGTGTGCAAGTTGGTATCTCAAAAACTACTGAAGGGAATGGGTTGAATCTTCACACATATATTTGAGAGCATAATTGGTATATCCAAGGCCCTTAACTCTGACATGGATTTTGTGAACTAAAGTGAACTTAATTTTTTTACATTAAACAGACTCTAGTTTTACTATCAAGAACTGAGAATGGTGGCGCATGCTGTCCTACCAACAACTCTTGATGAAAAAGATGATGTTTAAATGGTCATTGAATAAATGTGGGAACCTGAGTATAAGGCTTTCTATAAGCTAACTGTATAGCTTCCCCACATACAAGTATCCAAAGTTGAACCCACAGCAGTTAGAGTTAAAGGATTTGAAGTGAGCACTTTTAACCACTTGGCCACAGAAGCTGTTAAAGAGATTCTGAATTATTTTTATTTTCAGATGACCCCTCACAATGTCAGGGTAACTGTGGCCTTTCCTCCAGATACAGACACACCTGGTTTCCAGCATGAATTGCAGGGAAAGGTTTGTTAATCATGTTTTATATTAAGACATTTTTAGCTCACCTGTCACAAAGTGACAGGGTGAGCTTTTGTGATCGCTTTTCGTCCGGCGTCCGTCCGTCCGGCGTCCGTCCGTAAACTTTTACTTTAAATGACATCTCCTCATAAACCACTAAGCCAATTTCATCCAAACTTCACAGGAATGTTCCTTTGGTGGTCACCTTTAAAAATTGTTCAAAGAATTTAATTCCATGCAGAACTCTGGTTGCCATGGCAACCGAAAGAAAAAACTTTAAATATCTTCTTTTAAAAAACCCAAAGAGCTAGAGCTTAGATATTTGGCATGAAACATCTTCTAGTGAGTGTCTACCAAGTTTGTTCAAATAAAAGCCCTGGGGTCAAAATTGGCCCCGCCCTAGGGGGTCATTGATTTTCCCTCTATGCATATAGTAAAAACTTAAAAAATCTTCTTTTAAAGAACACATAGAGCTAGAGCTAAGATATTTAGCAAGAAACATGTTCTAATTAGTGTCTACCAAGTTTGTTCAAATAAAAGGCCTGGGGTCAAAATTGGCTCCGCCCCAGGGGGTCATTGATTTTCCCTATATGCATATAGTAAAAACTTAAAAAATCTTCTTTTAAAGAACACATAGAGCTAGAGCTAAGATATTTATCATGAAACATGTTCTAATGGGTGTCTACAAAGTTTGTTCAAATAAAAGCCCTGGGGTCAAAATTGGCCCCGCCCCGGGGGTCATTGATTTTCCTTATATGTGTATGTCAAAAACTTAAAAATCTTCTTTGAAAAAACCCAAATAGCTAGAGTTAAGATATTAAGCATGAAACATCTTCTAGTAAGTGTCTACAAAGTTTGTTAAAATAAAAGCCCTGGGTTTAAAACAGGCCCCGCCCCAGAGGTGTCATTGTTTTTAACTATATGTGTATAGTAAAAACTTAAAAAATCTTCTTTCAAAAAATCCAATGAGCTAGAGGTTAGATTGTTAAGCAGGAAACATCTTTTTGTGGGTGTCTACCAAGTTTGTTCAAGTAAAAGCCCTTGGGTTAAAATTGGCCCTGCCAAAGGGGGGGGGGGTCATTGTTTTTCATTATATGAATGTAGTAAAAACTTAACATCATGAAACATTTTTTTAATGGGTGTCTTCCAAGTTTGTTCAAATAAAAGCCCTGGGGTTTAAACTGGCCCCGCTCCGGGGGCCTATATACAGGTGAGCGACCTCAGGGTCATCATGGCCCTCTTGTTACTTATGCTTTTTATTGTGATTTTTTAGCATTTTGTTTTTAAGTTTGATTAAAATGAATTACTGATCTTGAGGCATTTCACCTCAGTTTCTTTCACTGCTGATTCAGAATATATTTGGGATTAGTAGTCCATCACTTTCTGGGAAATTAAATTACTTGTAAGTTATCTAGGAAAGCCAGGAAAAACCACAAAGAAAAAACAAACTCTAGCATGGATCTGAGAACTGTATAAATATTCAGCAAAATATGTTTTAAGAGTTTACTTTTAGGTGATAACTGTTTGAAAAGTATGATAGTGCCTGCAGGCCCTAATATTATTTTTGTATGTTTTACAGCCAAAGGAGACAATGTTGATATCCGAGACTGCTGGTTTGTTGAAACCACAAGATGTTGCTCATACTATAATCTCAGACTCATTGGTAAATATTATACTATTTTTAACCTATAGCTCTTCAGCGCTTCTCATGTAAAATTCTTCTAAGTATAATTTCCAATAACCGTAAATTATACCATACCCAGACTATGGTATAATTTTCAGTGAAGGAGTAAGTGTTTCTGGGCGGAGCTATAGGTTAAAACAGATACACCATTGGTGCGTTGACGATTTCTGGGTTTGCGTAAATTATACCATAATCACGTGACCTTTCTTATGCAACCTCACTCGACTTCGTCTCGTGAGGTTAAGGCATAAGACTTCGTCTCGTGAGGTTAAGGCATAAGAAAGGTCACGTAATTATGGTATAATTTACGCAAACCCAGAAATCGTCAACGCAGCAATGGTATATCTATTACTTATAAACTGTTATCTAAAATAGTGCAGTTACAGTTGTATAGCGGTGGGAATGTTCATGTTGTAGTAGTTTAGTGGTGTGAGTGTTCATTTTGTAGTAGTTTAGTGATAGGAGTGTTCATTTTGTAGTAGTCTAATGTAGAAAAAGAGTCATTGATATATTATCTTCATTACACAGTAGAACAAGTTTGTAAAATATACATACTTCTTTGACATAACATAAATGGACATAATCATGTATCTTGCCTAGAATGTAATGTTGTTCCCATAATATATCCAAATATGACACTTTAATCTCTGTGGGGCACATAAATGAGTTTATATGTAGGATGAAATTAGATGATTGAGTTAGACTTACCTGTTTGCTGAAGGTTAATCATGAATTGTAGTAGTCTAGTGTTGGTAGTGTTCATTTTTTGTTGTAGTCTAGTGGTTGAGGTGTTCATTTTGTTGTAGCCTAGTGATGGGACTTGATTACAACCGATAAATAAATGACAAACTGTACAGAAGTGTTTACATTATATAATTAATGGCAAAAAATTGCCCTTTGTATGTGTTAGAAGCTGAAAGAGTACATGTAAGGGCTCCTGTCTCGGTAAAATGTTAACTTAAAAGAAGAAAATTCAGTTTAAACTTACCAATGACTGCAAAAGATGAACTGGAAGCCAATTTTATTCACTGCTTCACTACTTCTGCAACAAATGCTCCACCGCCAAAGTGATGGACCCACGGCTTCTGTGAAAGCTATGGCCAGGGTGTAGATAAGGACAAATAAACTTATAACTTTTCTTTGTTACATGAAAATTTTGAAATAAAAATTGTAACATTTCTTAACTGTAACATGATACTATGATATTAGTTGGTATAAACATACAATACTACCACTGTTTATTAGCTGATAAATAAGTTAAAAACAGTAATTAAGGTTTGAATTACTTTGTCTTCTGTAAAACATACATGTATGCTTGGATCATGTTTCTAGGCAACTTGGGTGAAAAATCCATCATGTCTCTTTCCATTTTGCTCAGTGTGCTTCAAAGCACTGTGTATATTGAATATCACTACGTACATTTACTAATTCATGTGATGACATCATTTGTAAAATGAGTTTTGGTTGTATGACTTTTCCCACTTAGAAAAGCTGACTGTGTATATTGTATATCACTTCATTTACTACTGCATGCGTTTGCATCATTTGTAAAATTTGTTTTGTTATATGACTAATGCATGTAATGATGAACATGTTTTATTTCATATATTGCTCAGAAAGGAGAGTTTACAAGTTATCAGGGTATAGATGGTTGGATGTTAGCTAATATAAGTGCTGGTATGTCACCGGCTACCTCATTATACAAGGTTATAGAACAGGTAAGTCTTGAAAGCATATTATCATAAAATTTGTTAAAATGTATTTAGAAGTAAGATATTGTGAAGTGAACAAAGAAAATAATTTACACATTGCAAACAGCACTTGTAATCTGTGTTAGAAGTGCAGTACATGTAGATATATATTGTTAAAAATACTGCAAAATCAGATCTTAATCACACATGACATGTGAATTATTTCTTGAGTCTTAATTTGTGTTATTTTTCTTTAAATGTTAGTACATTTTTCTCCAGTGTAATTTTCTTGAAATATTTTGGCATACCATTTTAAATATATATATACAGTCAACTCCGCTTATAACGAACTCAATGGGACATTTAAATATCGTTCGTTATATCCGAAGTTCGCTAAAAGCGAAGTAGCAACAACTTGCTGACTTGTTTGGGTGGGCAAATTTGCCGTGAAAAAGGCAAACCTGTCGCTAGTTACCAGTATAATCTATATTTTAGACAGCAGTAATTTAATGCGGGTTATTCGATTAAACAATATACTATGAACATGGTGCATGTATTTAGACATGGGTGCACTGAGGGTGCGAAATACAAATTTTCAGTAACAAGTAGGAAATTATGTTGTGAGAACATTTTAACAAAACCTTTATTCTTACCCGTGCTAACACCCGATTGAATAATTATCGGATAGCGGTATTCATGTACTGATCATTATCGAGAGCATCCCTTTATTTCAATTATAACAGTTTGTTTTAACCGAGGAAATTTACTTGTTTTTCGCCGTTTGGGACTTGAAAAATGGTTCGCTATAGCCGAAAATTCGTTATAAGCGAGTACGTATTAAGCGATGTTTTTTAATATAAAATAAAGAAGGAATCGGCCGGGGATATCAGATTTAGTTCGCTATTAACGAATCGTTATAAGCGAGTTCGTTATAAGTGGAGTCGACTGTATCTTAAATTTTTTGTTGTTGTTGTAGAATAATACACAGTTTGAGTTCAAATGCAGCTTAGATAAAACTTAGCTTCCATTATTCCCTGTTCCATGCCTCAATGTGCGCACACCTTGTTTATACATTTCATTACTTCAAGATATATACAAAAAGCTATACAAAGTGTGTAAGCCAATGAAAACTCGAGAAATTTATTTGCATTATTATAATGCATGATAATTAATATGCTTTATTGTAATTTCAGTTTTTGTTAATGGGAATTCTACGTGTGGTAGGCTTATTCTATTTAGCAAGTTTTGACAGCATTGTCTTGAAGTGTAAGAAAGAGCGAGAGGTTGAGAAACAGAAGAAGTCTTAGTGCATATACTTTATATATATGTACGTACGCACATATACTGTATACATGAACAATATCTGGTTATCTAATTGAACAAAGTTGCAGGTGCTTTAAAACTAAAAAAAATGCTGTGATGCATCTGTCAACTCAAACTGCTGAAAATTAGGATTGTGCCAAGCTGGAGTAAAACTTACAAATGGTCTTTAAAGGGACGCCACTGAGGTTTTTTCAAGTGACCATATTGTAAATGCTTTTTTCTCAAGGTTAATATTCCATTTGATGTAAGTCTAACATAACAATAACATGTGTGCTTAATTTCAGATCATTCGCTCACTTACTGAACCCTTACTGTGTTAATAATGCAGAAGAAATATGGTGATAGATATATGCAAAATCTGTCATTAATCTCGTACAACTTGTAAATTATCACTTTAATCTTAAATCTTTTTACTTTTCTTATAAAAATCTTAGTACATTTTTGTCAAGTTTAATTTTCTTGGATTTTTTTTGGCTAATCCGGCATGCAGCTTTAATTTTTTGTTGGAAATTTATTTTAATGATGTGTTAGTGAAAGTATGAAAGTTAACATGCAAGTGTTGACTTGCTATTTATTATAATATTGTAGTGCATGATTATACTGCCAATACTGTCAAGAGAACATAACTCTTGCTTTGCTTAATATAGAATTTATTTTCTAAATGAAATAGTATCCCTTGTTCTGTTTTGACAGTACCTTTTAAGTTTTTTTTAAGATTGGCATCCTTGATGATTCTGTGTTTTTATACGCCTGAAATTGTTTTCATCGTACATGTTTATTGTTTTGCACCTGGTCGTCCGTCTGTCTGTTACAAATTTGTGACCACTGTATCTTTTGAACTGAAAGAAGGTCATTGAAACTAAAGTTTTATAAATCATGTATCTGGGATCAAAAATGCCCCCATTCTTTGGGTCAGTCAGTATAATATGTATAATTAATAACAAAAAAAGTTTTTATGAATGGGTCTCTATCCTTATTAAAAGATTATTTTTGATCACTCAAACAAAGTTTCATTCGGGCATATATAGGCTCGCCATTTTAGTGCTTTTTTATTTTGTATATTAATTTATGAAATTTCATTAATATATTTATTTAAACAAATTGTAAGTTTTTATATACATGTGTATATAAACATTTATATAAAAATGTTTTAATAAAATCATAAAAAAACTAAACAGTCCAATGTTATTCTTTTGATTACCTAGTTCTTACTGTATTTTGACTTGTTATCTTATTAGTAAAAAACATTTGAGCCGTGTCACGACAAAACCAACATAATGGGTTTGCGACCAGCATGGATCCAGACGAGCCTGCGCATCCACGCAGTCTGATCAGGATACATGCTGTTCGCTATCAGTTACTTGTAAGCTATTTAAACTGCTATGAAAAGATTAAGGTAGAACAGTATAAACTCAAACAAATTGGAAGTTGGACAGAAATTGGGGTGATATCTTTGTACCTAGGAAATGTTCATGGTTACCAATTTCTTGGTCACCGTTACCTTAAAGGGAATCAACTGTGGTGTTTTTACATGACAGAACTGGAAATAATTTTATCAAGATAAATGTTCCTATTTGATGATGGTCTATATAAGTAACACAAAATTCTAGATCATTTGCTCATTCTGTAACAGTTGTTTTTTTTTCAGAATAATTATTTGGGAAAATTGACCCTAATTTGAAAAGTGTATCAACACTTTTCACTCCAATCAGACCAAGAAAAGCTCAAAAATAGATTTTCAATATTTTTCAGAGAACATTTCTTAATTATCCTTTGCATATCTTTCTGTTTTAAAGCAGCACTCATCCAGATACATGCTAATTTTTATGAAAATTTTGAAAATGTAGTTGAATGTGTAATATTGTGTACTTAAGTAACCAAAAGGAATCAATTTACCCATTATCAATGGCACTTAAAAACCATGTAAATTACCAAAAAGGGTCAAAATATGCCTATATAGCATTTGCTGCGTTAGTAACGCAGTAGATATATAGTTGTAAATACTGAAAAATCAGTCATTAATCGCACATAGAATGTAAAATATTACTTGAACCTTTTAACTTTTTACTTTACATTTTTCTCAATTTTGATTTTATTGAAATATTTTGATTCATCAGGAGGAATGTAGCTTTAAGTGTTTGATCTATATTATAAATTCAAATTTTATGTTTTAAGGCTTGTGAACGTCAGTGGAGTGCCATTAACCTGGATTAGTGAAGTAGAACTATTTCTGCTGATTTCACTTCAATATTAAAAGACTGAACAAATTCAAATATATACAAGGAAGTAAAAACTACATCTTAATTGTCAAAAATATTTAAAAGACCGATTATTTGAATCCTTGCCAAAAACATATTTACCTGATACAGGTTGTGTTCACAATGCCTAATATAAAAATAATGGCCCAGATTTTACAAATACATACACAGAAAAGCATTATATTTTAAATTGAAGGGACTGCAATGAGTTTTTTTTGCATCACCAGACTGGAAATATTTTTCAGATATTTTATACCATTTGATGTAGGTCAACGTGATTATGTACGAGTATGATTAATGCTGGGACAAAAAAAAACTTAACCCATAACTTTTTATTTATTTACAGATTCAAATTGTACTTGGACAAAAGAACATGCACATGTATGACAAAACCAGTTTGTTGAATTAGTCTGAAATGACATTGACCTTTAACTGACGTTTACTGTCAATGTCAAATTATTGAAATTTGCTTAAACCTTTATTATAACAAAACACATATATGTAATTATTCAAATATGACATTGACCTTCAGTAAACGTGTTTAAATTGTCAAATTTACATATTTGACTTTTACTTGGACTAAAGAAACTTTATATGTTGAATTATTCTGACATGACCTTGACCTGAAATTGACCTGGACCGTCAAAGTCAAATTATTGAATTGCTTAAATTGTCAGAACATTTTTTATTTATTTTCATATTTGATTTGTACTTTGACAAAGAACACTTGACAATACAGACGTGTATGATTTGACGTCTAATTGTCCGTAACCTTCAAAGTAAAAAATATTGATTTCGCTTAAATTTTTATAACTTTGTTATTCATTTACAAATTTGATATGAGCTTAAGCCCCAGTCATTTTAGAGCTTACGGCCACAAAAGACCAGTTGACGATCACCAGCGACCACTGATCGCGGACAATCTTTAAAACATCTTACGACGGTCATCGGTGATCTTCGATAGTCGCAGGTTATCTTATTTAGGTCCCACGACCAATTTCAGTCGTAGAGAGGTTTTTGAGCTTGCACAACAACCTCCCTGCGATCAAACAGGTCGCTAGTGATCTTATAAGGTCTTAGGCTGTCGCAAAAGGGGCTTTCAACTTCAATGTTTTTACTTAAAAAATGTAAATTTAAACTGAACAAATGGGTTTTATTTGTGTTAAAATATGCATTTTATTATCGATCGTAAAGTTTTAAGTATAATAAACTGAAGTAGAATATTCTGAATAAACCACAGTTTATGACAATAAAATAGTAATTTGATGAAATTTATACAAAGAATTAGTCGAGGTAGAAAAAATACTAACATAAGTAACACAGTCATAACTATTTTGGGCTGTCGATAAGTAGTTTTACATTGTGATAAAATGTAAATTAAAGATGCAAGTTGGTAGTATATCCTGTTTGTGAATATCTTTTTAAACAGGTGTGATGGGGCTTTATTTGGCATTAAAGGCACATTATGCGTCCGGAATACTATCAATTTTTTGTCAAAAACTTATTTTTAGTATTTGATTACAGTTTCGGAAATATACTTGTTTGCCATATGCATAAACCTTAAACCTTTGTTTTTCTACTTTTGTTCTGTTGGCAATTGGTATAATTGTAGTGAATGAGTATTTTGTATGGAGGTCAAAATACTACTTTGTTTACATTTTGCTACCTTTACAACACATCACTGCACGTTCAGCCCTACTTTCTTCAGTTGTTATGAATATCTTTAAGGTTCTTAATCCATTTAATATTTTAACATTATTAAACAAATGTTTGATTTCTAAAGAATTGAAAAATATGTATATCTGAGGTATTATATGCCTTTAAACTATACTTCGCATACCGCTAATATAATAATGAACATTATGATTTAAAAAATATACTTTTTTCTGTCAAAATAATGTAAAACAGTTTCAGAGAAATTGTTGATAGTATATGTAGCATTATACAATTAAATTAGAATTCCTTACTTTTGATAATAAGAATAAATATTTTGACAGATTTTTTAAAGTTCTTTTTTCATTTTTTATAATTATTGTTTTCAGTTTGCAGACGCAAAATCCCCGTTAGACCCATTTTAAACACCAGTTTACATCAATTTAATTACGGAGAGATGAGATCAGTAGCAGGTGACTGGGTCTGATAGTACCCGAAAATGTGAAATTAAATTCTGAGAGTTTTTTTTTTAAATGTAACAAGGCCGTTTTTATTGATCTAATGTAACAGTATTTTGTTTTCGTAGTGGTGAAGGGGGGTTGGGAATACACGATTGTTCGAATTGGTACATTAATTAAAACAAGCGCCTCTGGTCAGATTCATATCATTCAAGCTATATTTTTCTCGTATATGTCGTCAACTACAATAATTGAGCCGCGTCAAGACAAAACCAACATAGTGCGTTTGCGACCAGCATAGATCCAGACCAGCCTGCGCATCCGCGCAGTCTGATCAGGATCCATGCTGTTCGCTTACTAACTCTATTACAAGTAGAGAAACTGAAAGCGCAGGCTGGTCTGGATCCGTGCTGGTCGCAAACGCACTATGTTGGTTTTGTCTTGACGCGGCTCATATAAACCTGACTATAATTTTGACTAGAGGTCGGAATTTGATACAGGCAGCTTTGGATGTTGAAATAAGTTTCACAGTTTATATAAATGGAAAAACCTGATATTTTTAAATACACATCATTAACCGGTGTTAACATAGTATAACTTTCAAAGGTGAACTTGATTATTTGTTAAATATATCATGTCGACATACAATGTATGAAATGCAAGACTGATCAAGTATGATACATTAATTCGCATTATAGGTTGAAAAAACTATATATCTGAAATGTAAACACTTCCTGTTCGCAAAATTAATTCAAGATTTAATACGATTTCACATTTAAAATGTACAATAAGAACCACGTGCACTGTATTTATTGATAAACTTTTGTCAATCTTCCAAAATGAAAAAATACCGAATATAGACCAATAGTTAACTAGCTTAAAGAAATATACATGTACATGTACGTATAATGGCCCAGCCCGGGATAGATAAATTTCTTTCGAATAATCTGTCACAAACCATTTATTTTTAAAGCTGCAGTCTCACGTACTCCCGGCAGAGCCCAGGACCATCCCGGTAAGTTACCGGGATGATCCGGGACGATCCGGGGTGAAATTATTGTTGCGGTCACACTTACCCCGGCAGCACTACGGTAGTTCCCAACTAACCACTCAGGATGCGCTCCGGATCATCCAGGCAGAGCCCAGGTGAAGCTGCGGTTTATGCCGGTACTTCCCCGGTCGTTCCCGGATGACGCCGGAAGAGCCCCGGTTGACCCAGGCAGAGCCCGGTCGATCCAGGAAGAGCGCCGGTAGAACCCCGGTGGTTTGAAAACGCCCGAAAATGATAACATTAATACATAATTTTTATTTAATATAATATTTATTGTTACAGAATAGTAATTCGTGATGATTATCTGAAAAATCCTTATGCCATACTGGATAGAAAGGAAATGGGAAGGGTTTTAATACAAACAAGTGCAATCATCGCAAATTATCGTTATTCTTTTGAAATGATCCGGGCTTTGCCGGGGCTCTACCGGGATCAACCGTAGCTCTACCTTTATCCTCCGGGGCTCTGCCTGTAGTTACCGGGGCTCTGCCGGCATATACCGTGGTTCTACCGTAGCTCTACCGGCTATATCATACCCTGGATCATCCCCGGTTTGTGCCGGCAGAGCTACGGTGCTTCCCCGGTATAACCCCGGTCGTTCCCGGCAGAGCTAAGGATGAAACCTTCCCGGATCATCCCGGACCACCCCGGTGATATTAAATATTTTATTCCATCCGGGGTCGAATGCCGGATTTTCCCGGATCATCCCGGACGTTGCCGGCAGAGTTACGGATGTACTCCGGTTGTTCCCGGTCGTACCCTGGTCGTTCCCGGATCACCCCGGACTCTACCGGGGCTCTGCCGGGATGTATGTGAGACTGTAGCTTAAGACAATTTTTAAGTAAAAAAAAAAGAAAAAAAACACGCTAGATCTACTGCTATTCATAAAGTCAATAATCTAACTCCGAAGAATAATTTTAGGCCTTTGCCCGCTTTATAATCAACCGCCGTTTCGATTGATACACGGATCAATGGTAGGTTAAATGAAGCTAATTTTCAAATACAGATGTCAATTGCAACTTTTGGACCCTTTCCGTCAGTCTTCGGGTATAATTTATGTATAATAGCCGATTATGGTCCGCTTGTAGAGGAATGTCTGAATAACAAGATTATATCACGTCGTATACTACTTATTTGGAAAACCCCGAAATGAAACACACAGTTTCATTTCGGGTTTTTTCCAAATATCAAAGTACAAGAAAATTCACACTGACATAGGTTGAGAATATAAACATATATCATTGATGTTTTCACATACATATGAAACAAGGATGAACTATAAATTCTTTTTCCTAAGTGTTAATATCCTAAAGTCAATGAGATGTCATTTGTATTATATTACATAAAGCCCATACAGTATGTTATTTTAATACTTCACGTATAATGTATATACATGAACATGTACTTATACAATGTAATACATTTATATGGTAACATATATCTATCAGATACATATATCGTTTTTTTTAGTTATCTTATATTACTGCATGCTAATTATGTTGATTTTCACTTAATTTGGATAATCATGACGTTTAATTTATACACATGGCTACCGGGTTTTTATGAATTAATATCCCCTACTTAAAAAATAAAATCGTGCTGTATAATCAATTGGTTATAAACAGTTTAACAGGTTAATATCACCATATATAAGACGGTTATTTGCTGTATTTATATTCAGCCTTGATGATTACCTTACTTTGAATGTTAAATGCAATACATATAATACATTTCCTATATTCTGTAATGGTTCGTTACTACTTATTTATCAATTACAGTAAATCTAATACGACAATTATTTTTACATATTAAATTCCGCGCGTAAAATTATTAAAATAAACATTTTCAGTTATCTTTTGGTGTATTCTATGTATTTTGTTCAACCTTAAGGGCACTGGCGTTTATCCAAATACATTTAATCATTTCGACGAAACGGGATATAAATACCAGTCAGGCAATATAAATTGGTATAACTTGAAATCTAAAAGAAAATCTGCCAGCTTAATGGTTGTATAGGTAAAGGTTTTGCTATGTGTACACTTCTATTATATTCCCGTCTGAAAGAAAACTTTTCGCGCCGTGGGAATTTAGTCAGTTTTTTTTGTCTCCGTAACCAAACTTGTTCAGTTGCGTTAATACATTTTCTATGTTTGTCACTGTATCCGGACAGAGCTAATGTAATTAGGAAGCGGGTCCTCCATAGCGCGATAAGGGTTAGGTCGAATTCTACCAGGGATACATAAATACTTGTTGCTTCCAGGTTCTGATAGGATCTCTCACTTTGTTCACTTTTTGCCCTCAAGTCTAATGCGCTTTCCACGTTCTGACGAGGCGTTCAATAAATCAGACCTTAACGTCGTAGAGATTTATAGAACGTTCGTGTCAACGGTAAAAGAAAACCCTTAAGCAACATTAATCGTTGTAAACATTGTAAGATACGAGTAAACATGACGAAAAAGATTGTGTTTCCTTATTTTATTACTGAAATAGTCTAGTCTTTGCGTCACCAAGAGATTTTACAATCGAGTGCCCGGTGTCAACTAGTGATCAGAGACTAAATGAATGTCTCATTTTGTATGATTATTTACTGCCTGTAACTGCGCTCTGAACTGAAAAGCTAGTTGTTATTTTCAGAACAGTGAAAAGAAACAGCAGGGCTTAGATTTCAAGTCCGCGCGCAATACACGTTTCCTGTCCCAGAATGTACCACCTCCAAGGTTTGTAACGGCCTTCTACATACTTTCGTGTTTTGCAGCATTTACCCCGTTACACTACACAACCGCACCTTGCCTGCGGTGGGAAATATCTTGACTGTATAAGATTCTTGCCACGCATCCTCGATAGTTACGGGCTGTCACGTTTGCCTATCTTGTCACCGAGCGTTGTGTTACGTTCATCCCGTGATTGCCGTGGCTGAAGGGAACATGTGTAAACGTAGAATTACATTAAAACTATTGTAACAAAACGATTTCATATAATTTAAAGGTACCCAGCTTTTTTTCCGTTAAAATAATTAATATAATACACAAATTCGTTATTTTAGCGTTGAAAACTTAATGAAAATGTCTTGCCTAATTGCTTAAACAAGTGTGTATGGAATTTTAATATCTCGTGAAATTGACCATGGACGATAACATAACAATTGTGAACATTTGTTTATAATAAGGACAAAAAGTTTAAATGTGGCATCGTATTTGATAATGATTTTATGAATGTACACTTTCATCCAGCCTTAGTTATATACATAGCTTCAACATCATTTATATACAATGTCTTAATACGTCACATTGTATCTAGAGATTCATTTTTCACATGCAGTTTTATGCAACGTACACACTTTCCAGTTTCTTTTTCATAAACTGCCTTTATGTCTTGTTTCACTCCGCTTAAAAAGGATCAATTAGCTGTCAACACTTTAATTTCCATTCTCCATTTTTATCTTAAGGCAAATAATTTGAAGCTATTCTCTTTGAACTCTGACACTAGAAGGTGGTTATCCTGTGATGAAATCGCTAGACAATGTGGTAGTCCCAAACCATCGGCTGCAGTCAGAATTTCGTGAACTTTGACCCCGTCGGGAGAAATTTGATGAACAGTCATATTTCCGCTAGAAATGTAAACATCTCCGTCTGAGTCTATGGCAATTCCACTTCTAAGCTCTAAATTTCTGTCTGTGTAGGTAAACACCTCTTTATAATGTGATTCTCCATTTGAAATGTCCATACAGTACACGCAATTCCTTCCCAAATCATTTATATACAGCAAATGCTTCTTGCTATCTATACGGATCGCTGATGGTCGAACGAGGTTGACCTGCTCGGTGACATGTTTGATAGAATCTAATATCTTTCCAGTAATATCTAGCACATGTATTTCTCCTGTTCCACCCTTCACTGAAGTGGATCCGTATAGTTTTCCTTCGCTACAATAGGCCAGACCGTGATAAGGAAAGCCCGTGTCTATGCGTCTGCACAAAGATAGGGTCGTGTTGACGGTTATTATCTGAATGACGCTCTCATCAATTAGGGAAGTTGCAACTTCTTTCTCTCCTGTAACCACAATGTCGTTAGGTCTAGATGTGAGCACTATGTGGCTGATGTAGCTGCAATTCTTGTTGAAAAGTTTTATACTCTTATTGTGGTAATCGGCCAGGAGAATTCTGCCGTCTTCAAGAATTTCACAGCCCGTCACATGGCACGTGGTTTTGTCACCTGGAATCCGGACGGAATGACCACCCACTGGAATCGCCTTCTTTCGTTTCGATATTGATGGTGTAGAGGACAACCTTTTCTGGTATCGCTGATTTGAATCGACTCGGAGTAACACGGAACTCTGTCTTTGTAACTTCTTTTCTGAGCGTTCATTCTTGCCGACTTGTACGTCACCAACGCTGTGTAGATTTTCTTTAATCAATATAAATGTCTTATCAAATTTGAAGTGAACATTTGTCTCTTTCATGTTACTTTCAATTTCATCTGCATATAAAGTATACTTATCCAACTGGTGTTCAGCCTTTTTAAAAGCTATGTAAACTTGAGGCTGCCTAGCATTCTGTTTAACTGTAGTTAGTACTCTCTGTGTGTCATTTAATGTTTCCAGTACATTTTGAATCGTATCTATCTCGTTTTGAAGTTTGTTTTTTACATCCGAACTTTTCATCTTTACAGTATTGTCGGCTTCTTCAGCAAGCTTACTAATTCTTTCTATAGCATTTGTTGTTTCGGTCTTTATCTTGTTTAGTGTTTCAGAAACTTGGTCTGATATATTAGCAGAGTGTATCTTCTTAGTCTGAAACTGGGCTGTAAGTTTTGTCTGCAAACCTTTTAGAGACTTCTCTACTTTACCCATTTCACCACTTTCAGCAAACTGGTCGACCTCGTCTATGATATATTTGATATTATTGCATCCGAGATGACTTATATCTTTGCACGTTTTACAACAAAGTGATTGGTGACCTTCACAGATGTACTCGATGCATCGACCCGGATGTTCTGGACAAGATTCCGTCATAGAACTATTTGCTGAAGTCTTGCTGTCATCTTCAATATCCAGTAAATGATGAGTGCTAGTGAGTTTTAATTTTCGGTGGTGTTGTCTACAGCTGTTACACAGACGCTCAGAACATTCCAAACAGAAAACAACGGATTTATTTTTCTGTCCTTCTTCCTGGAGACACGGCATGCACAAACTATCAGTCCCATGGTCGTTTGCCAATGTTAATGAAATCCTTATCTCGGATTTGTTTGGTGAATCCATTTTTCTACTAAATCGTCGTTGTCCTTGTTTAGTCCGATAGAAATAAACACTATCACCCCTTCATGTACAACTTTACAATATGTTGGTTCACATTTTCACAAGGAGCTTAATTGTTCTCGGAAGCGCATTCGTACAAAAGTCTATTTCCTGATCTCCTTATAAAGTGTATCTACCGTCTAGTTCATCGAATTTGACATAGGAGTTTTTTTCTGCCCATTTTCATTCAAATCTGATCGCTGATTGTTCATACTTTTAACCAAGTAGTAGCGGTCTCATTTGGCTAGTTAAACATATCTTTTTTACACATTTTAATCTGATCTGAAATAATCTCTGTCTTTTGAGAAAGAAAAGGAAAGGATACTAAAAAATAGATTTAAACAATATCTACTTTACATAATAAATGTTATACATGTAGTTAAACAGTAATAACTTTCAAGAAAATACTGACATCCAAAAGCGGAGGTTTTATGTAGACAAAACTGTAAACAATTAGAAATGCTTCCTTTTCCAATTAAGAAAGTGAAGTAAATGTGTCCGTGTAATTATCTGAAGATTAAATGAGCACGTTTGTATGGAGAACTTGACTTCAATGATTATTATTTCTTCTCATTTCTTCTCATCAGAGAGCGTTTATATTTTTATATTTTCCTGCTGATCCTTTTTGTTGTCATTGATTCCAGTGATTTTATTGTGAAACATGAAAACTTCTTTTAAGCTGATGTTGGGTGAGTGTTTGTGTGTGTGTGGGGGGGGGGGGGGTTCAAGGGGAGTATAAATTTTTATCTGATTTATTTCGTATTGCTCATGATGGATTTTGTATTTACACTTTTAAAAGATTGTTCTATCATTGAAACATCTCTATATGTTCATAATTTAATTGAAAAATTATGGTATCGTAGAGAATATACATGTCAATGGCAGAGGATATGCGGACATTGCGTTAAAAAAGAAAAGAAATATTTTAGATACTAAAACGGAAGTGTTGTACGTGAATTCAGGCATAAATATTCATTCACGATAAGTATGAATCCGTGAAGAAATTGATTCACGGATATCAAAGAAAATTAATCTAACGCGAATAAATCCAGTTCTACAGTATAATGCATAACTGTCTGAGATTCATCTGCATTTACATGTATTTTATGTTTAGAATTCATTAAAAATGTCTTGCTTGTTTTAAAACACTTTCATAACTATGATGTTAAACTTGATCGCTAATCAACTATATTATTAATCATCATTTGGAACTAACACGTACTGGATAAAGATAGCCGCGATCGCTAGGTGGAGGGGCAGACACCTTAACAGGAAAGCATCCGCTTCAATATAGGTTAGTGAGACTGTAAGACACTCCCGACAATTATATTATTTTTCGACTTACAGGGGTTGGCACTTACTACAACAACAATAAAAAAAACTTGCAGTAAAACTACAATTCAATGCAAAAATGAAGCATCATTTGATTCATACCAATTATTTGAATCGCGATTTCAATTTTATTTTTTAAACATACTTTTCACCTAGGAAGTTTAATTCTCTACATCTTCTTAATAGATAAACATATATTTATTCATAAGTATTAAAACTATTTTTTGTCGTTATATTATAACGATCATGTTTATAACCATGACGTGCAACTAGGAAGTTTAGAACGGTTGACCGGCCAGCGTTTCGTTAAAGCCGTGGATATTTGTCCGACATATCAGTTTTGTTTTCGGTTCAGATATACATTTTTTTAATTATGGAAATTAAAACGGATGTCCTAATTCTTACAGTGTTGTTTCTGGCGACAGTGCCCTTACAAAATGTTGTTTGGGCGCAACTAATCGGTACGTTAAAATGTTTTTTATGGTATTTTATGATAATATGAAAAAAAATGTTTTTGCGTAGTTTTCAATTTTATCGCTGACTTCATTTCATTGCGAAAAATGTTTTCATATGTGTATTGTTTATTTGGATATTGACTATGGTTATCAGCAATGAAATGTTTCTTTTTGCAAAAATCTGAAAATTTGCAGATTCAAAAGAAATCTGAATAACGATAATAATCGTAAGCACATAAGTTGATCTTAAAGGAGCAAAAGGAAAGTCCGTAACTTTACACATTTTGGCCATTAAATAAAAACTAATGTACATAAACATAATATAATTAATTTTGGCACTTTTTTTTGTTAAGCTAGCTTGTATTTTTAATTGCGTGCTGTCTTAAAATGCTGTCTTATAGTCGTGTCTCGGCATGACGCGGTGCCGTGTTGTTCGCTGACACCTTCGCTGATTCACGCCGCGCGCCGATACTAAAAGTATAGAGAAATGGCATTTTGTCGATGAATTGACTAAAAGACGACTAAATTAAAGTGATATAAAACAGCAGTCGTGTTATTTTAATGCTTATGCATTTAATATGCTCGAGTTAATTTCTACAATTGTGTTGGGAACTTTTTTGGCCGAGAGCCGTCTAAAATCAGATTGATCCCGTAATCTTTTCAGGGAAGTACTGAATATAAGTAGAATTTTCATTGCCATTGCCAATTTAAAATTACATACTAAAATCTGGGAATGTTTCGGCCATTCTAAAATATGTCAAATAATATAAAGGATCTTTATGCAATAGATTATGCGTTGTTGTTTAATTAATCAAGAGGAGTTTCAGTACTTAACGAACTTTCTCCTCAGGTTTCTCAGATTTTCAAGTTCTTTCACTTTATAGTTTAATCTTGACAGATTTATTTACAATGATTTTAAAATCTCATCAGTAAGTTAAAAATCTTGTCCACAATTACGAGACAGCCAATAACTTTTAGTACGAATAAAATTATTAGAATAAGTATATGAACCGTGTCACGACAAAACCAACATAATGGGTTTGCGACCAGCATGGATCCAGACCAGCCTGCGCATCCGCGCAGCCTGATCAGGGTCCATGCTGTTCGCTTACCAACCCTATTACAAGTAGAGAAACTGATAGCGAACAGCATGGATCCTGATCAGACTGCGCGGATGCGCAGGCTGGTCTGGATCCATGCTGGTCGCAAACGCATAACGTTAGTTTTGTCGTGACGCGGCTCAAATGTTTTGTACGTGGTGGCGCCTCCGATCTTTGCTAATGAATTCAATAGCGGAATTATATAGGTAATGGGTATACCATATTTTTGATACGTCAATATTGGTTAAAATACAGTTGTTATATTTTTGATATTTACAATTATTTATCTCTTTCAAAAGTTAAGTTAGAAATCTATATCATAAAAATATAACTTAAAACAGACGATAATTGAGATACACGCATTCATGAAAAAAAAATGATTTGAGTCATGAAAACTTTGGCCGGAGAGTATTCAATTCAAGTTATTCGGAACCGTCTGATTCTGGGGTACTTCTTGTTCTGGACCTACGTGGTAGTGATTAGATATTGCCCATACATATAATAATTCAATAAATCAACTCATAGTAAAGTTTGTTGGACTAACCCTATTTAGAGCCCAGTATAACTGTTTGCAATCACAATTTTGAATTTTCACAAGTAATAACTGTCATTAAATAGGTATTGCTAACATTTCTTCATGGAAGCGATTTTTGCCAGTGAAAACAGATTTACCTCGGCCAAGTCTGTCTCTGTTTTTGAAAGATACTTCTTCTTAACATCTGAGCCGTGTCATGACAAAACCAACATAGTGCGTTTGCGACCGCGCAGTCTGATCAGGATCCAATTGTTCGCTTACCAACCCTTTTACAAGTAGAGAAACTAATAGCGAACAGTATGGATCCTGATCAGACTGCGCGGATGCGTAGGCTGGTCTGGATCCGTGCTGGTCGCAAACGCACTATTTTGGTTATGTCATGACGCGGGTCATATATTTAATCTGACCAGACACGTATACTGTTCCCTAATTAATGCTATTATTCGGGTATTTGAAATCCCTTAATCCCATAATAATGGATAATTCCAAAAGTGACTGTAAGACAAATTCCATTACACAATTTCATCAGGATTAAGGTTAATTATGACAAAGTCCTTGGGACCAGGACCAAAAAACGAATGATATCAAACTTTGATTAAAATTAGCCCGTTTAGTGTTACCAAACAATTGTTTAATATTTATTTTTATCTTATTTGTATAGAGAGTTTCACATTACATCTTTAAATATTGCTATTACTTCGCTAGATTTATCTATTTATCTCGCAGAGATAAGTAAGGGGTGTTTCTCAGTTTTTTTCCGTCTGAATATTTGAAATGAATAGTTTACATTTTTTTGTCTGTATTATTCAAACAGAAATAGCATTATTATGTTTATAGATTGGTCTACGACCTTGGGGTCAGCAAAATTTTAAATACGCAAGTCAAGCGTATAGAATAAAGTCATACATTCTCTCCGGGCTTATCTAGTTCTATATAAAGATTTTGAATAATGCTTATACTTTACTTTGATATTAAATTGCATTTTCAAAAAGTATCTGTAATAGTTGGTTATTAAAGGCTGTTTTTGTTTACTATAAACTGACATGCATGCGTTGCGTATCACATTTCAATTGTCAACACATCTTGCAATTTAATACATATAACTTGTTATTGTTTTTAAGGAATATTTCATAGAATTAAGAACTCTTATCACACAAGGCCATCAAAAGTATCATGCATTCATTAGATATATCATTTGCCAAATATTACATTTATTTTTCTCATGATTCTTATTATTCTTTACCACATACCCGCATTTTATTTCCACATTGTTTTTCATTTGAATTTTCTTTTTGCGTGCGTTAGCACTTGTACTTTATCGTTACATATGTTCAAATATTCTTTATTTTTATGATGTTTACATCGGAACTATTTTTCATGCTCCTGATTAAAAAAAACGACCAAATGACGCATTTGTCAATTTATGAAATAAAAACTTGTTTTAACTAAAAATATATGAAATTGAAAATTGAAAACATATAAAAAACGGTATTGAAAACATACTCGTTTAAGCAACTTAGTATTTTGTCACACGCAATTGAACTTTTAAAGTTGCATAAAATTACTTGTAGTTTCTGTTTTAACCCAAACCTGGTACATAAAAAATAATGTTTTTCAGATTTGTTTATCAAATTCCCCATTGAAAACTATATTAAGTCACGTCTACCTTGCGTAAATTGTTTACGTATATATTTTCAAACAATATTGCACAATGCAATCAGGAAGATTGAATATTTGTTTATGTGTTATGTCTCAAAAGGTTTTTTGTTCTTTCCTTTTTCTTGAGATGTCGACAGACAATAAAAATATCAAATATAGTTATATATTCATGTCAATAATCCAGATCGTTTTAAAATTTAAAGTTGATAATAATAGATAATATTTTTACACACAGTTATACCATTAAAAGGGGAATTATATTTCAAAAAAAAATATAAACTTTCAAAATTACCCTTTTCAAAATGACGTCGAGTTTTAGCATTGTGTGTGTTTGTGTGTAGCATTGGCATCATACAGTCAATCAGAACGTCCGAATCTCATAAAGGTCGAACTTTCTCGTAATGACCGTTTTTTTCATTATGACCGTTTTTTTCTATCCATAATGTCATGGCGAACTTAATATAGACGCCCAGTAGTGCTTCGTTAAAATAAAAGTTTAAAACCATATGAAAAGTAAAAGGTTGCGAGGGTAATAAAGACATCCTCACACGAATTAAAATACAAAAGTAAAAGTTTAAAACAAAATAATGCAAGGATTTATCTAAATGATGCAAGTCAAGTTAATTGTTGATCACTGCTTTTATTCATAGCTAAGAGTGTTTTATATACAATGGCTATAGACATATCCTTGTGGCAAAGGCCTATAACCGAAAGTGATTAGCTGTTGCAACAAAAATTGTACCAGGTTTGCTTGCGCCAAACTCGAAGTCGGACGAGGCTCAATATTATTATTTGGTTAACCTTAGATTTGTTCATGTCAATTCTTTTCTTTCCCCCCTTATTTTCAGGTGCTGTTTTCGACCCGTCAGTTGTCACCACTTCTTTGAAGAAGGATGCATTTGCAAAACAAAAATTAACACATAAATTCTCAATACTTTTTTCCCTAACTTCCCAGGTTGCTGATTTTTGAGAACTCCAATTGTTGTCTCTTCTTTTGATGAAAAATATATTTGCGACAACAAAAAAAGCACATTAAACTTTGTTACCAGGAAAACCTTGTATGGACGCTGGCAATATTACTACTACACGAATATTTGGAATTGAAGGAATTTTAAAAACACCAAGGTGCTCAACATTGATGTCGAACTATGCCAGAAATAGACTTTATATTTATGACTCACACACGGCTTCTATATATTGCAGTTGGAGAAACTTTCAACTGGAAAGTAGATTTTTTCCAAACCTTTTCCTTGACTGTAATTCATTCTGGTTTATCAAGGTATTCTAATCGTATATCCGTAGACTGGGTCTCAAACCAAATATATATTGGGACCGGATGCTTTATATGGTTGGATTGTTGTTCAGTCTGCAGACAAAGAAGACGAGTACAAAAATTCTGGTAGACAATGACATTGAAAAGCCTTACGCATTAGTGGTTGACCCCCATTAGCAAGTAAGTTAATTTTGTTAAATCTTTTTTTTTAATATATTCCAATCTAAATAACTAGAATATGATACTAAAATAAATTTTTGTAATGTCAAAAAAAAAACAAAAAACAAACAAACAAAAAAACCCATTAAAAAAAAAACCCAAAACAAACAACAACAACACCTTTTTACTTCTGAATGTCCTTAATACAGTTCATGTTTATGGCATTCTTTATTTTCAGGTATATGTTTTGGAGTGATATTGGTCGCACTGTGAAGATTGT